AAGCATCTCCCAAGCCCCAGTCCATTAACCAGGCCATGGAGCTCTGCCGAGCCGGGGCTGAGGCTCCCCCCAGTACCCTCATGCCAGGGCACAGTGCCCATGGCATCCAAGCTGCCACCAAAAGCAGGACACAGCAGTTTGTGGCACAGCCTGGCCCCCAGCACCACGTCCAGCACTCTGTATCAGTGCTGGGGCAGGCAGGGGCAGTGTGGGGGTCCCCCAGCTGCCCCAGACCTCCCCTGGGGTGCAAAAAGAACCGAAGCCCCCATCCCGGCTGCAGCACACCCCCCCCCCAGCCCTGCCTCAGTTTCCCCATCCCTCTGCAGCAGCCACAGGACAGGTTTCCCACACCAGACAGGGGGGGAGCCTCCGGACCCCCCCCCCCACTGGCTCCTGCCCCACTCCCCACCAGCCCAGGCACCGCAGGGCCGGGCCTGGCAGCGTGTTGGTGCAGGCAGGGCCCAGCGCTGCCAGTTCCATCTCGCCCCTTCACGAAGGCTCCACCGTGTCGATGGGGGAACCCCACCCCGGCCCGGGGCATCCCTGCAGCGCGGGGCTGGCGGCTCCTCGGGAGCCCAGCGGGGTCCCCATGGGGTGGGAGCACCCAGAACCACCTCTGCACAAGGCACCGCGGGGGGACGGCACCGGGGGGGGCAAAGCAGGTGCCGGAGGGAAGCGGCGTCCGCCCGGCCCCGGCTCCACAGCTCGCACCGGGGTTAATTTTAGCACCGGGATGTCCAGGATTAACCGATGGCTCCTGCGCCGGGCGGCGGCAGCCGCTGGCGGCCAACATCGGCCTCGTCCGGTCCTGGCGCAGCCACCGAGCCCCGCACCGCGCCGCGGCGGTGCCTGGTGGGACCCTGCCCACCGCAACCCACGCGCGCCTTGGCTTGGCGCGGTCCCAGCCTGACCTTGGCACCAGAACCGGGGACGCACCCGCACCCTGCGCGGTGCCAGCCCCGCACCGGGCACGCGGCGCCTCCCGCCGCCGTTCTCCCACCCCGCATCCCCCAGCGCATCCCGCGGCAGGAGCGGGTGGGCGCCCATCAAATCCTCCCCCCCACACACACACCCAGCGCCGCCGCATCGCCCCCGGCCTCCCGCACCGCAGCGCAGCGCAGGGCCCCGCTCCCCGCACCGGGCACCCCCCGCGGCCGCCGCTCCCGGGGGTCCCGCCGGTACCTGCTCCGCAGCCGCGGCCGTGAGCTCCGCCCGCCGGGAGCCGCTCCAGGAGCGCGGTCAGGAGCCGCTCGGGGGGCACGGGCGCGACGGGGCCGCAGCCGCAGCGGGCGGCGGGCGGCGGCTCCGGGCTCGGTGGCTCCCGGTCCCGGTCCCGGTCCCGGTCGCCTCCCGGGGATGGATCCTCGGGGGAGCGAAGCGGCGCCTCGGGCGGACGCAGCTCCAGCCACCGGCCCTCGCCCCCCGGCTGCGGCCCCGCCGGCCCCGCCGGTTCCTCGGGCGATGCGGGAGGGCGCGATAGGCTCTGCCGCCGCGCTGCCGGTGCCGGTGCCGGTGCGGGGGGGCGGGCGGGCAGGTGCGAGCCCGGCTTCTTCAGCAACTTCTCCAGCGGCTTCATGGCCGCCCGGGCGCGGCGGCAGCGGCGGCGGCTCAGGGGGCCATGGGCGGCAGCGGCGGCGCGGGGCGGCTCCGCTCGGCTCCGGTCGGGCTCGGGCCCCGGCGCCGCTCCCCTCCCGCCCCGCGTTGCGCCCCGCGGCCCCGCCGGTAGCGCCCGCCCCGCCGCCCCGCCCCGCCGCCGCCCCCGGCCCCGCCGCCGGCACCTGCCCGCCCCCCGCCGCACCGGCACCGGAGCTCTGGGATGCGGCGGCACCGGGACGCGGCCCGGCCCGTCCCGTCCCCCCACCCCGCCGCAGCCCCGCACCCGTGATGCGTTGCACAACCTCCGTATCCCCCTCCCCGCCCCGCAGCACCGGACGCGGCCACACGGCAGCAGGCACACACTGGGCACACGTCGGCAGAGCCCCCGCACCTCCCCATTGCCTGTGTCCCCCCCCCCCGGCCCACCGGTGAGGGGCGCAGTGTGTGTGCCCCCCCCCAAGGACTGTATCACATCCATGTCACGCTCCGGCACCCCTCGTCCCCTGGGGCACACATTCGGATTGTCCCCCCCCATGGTACCCCCTCCTCTGTGTCCCATCTATGGGGTCACATCCCCAGGTATGGGGTGATGCCCCCCCCCCCGGCTCAGCTCTCTGCCCCCCCATCACAGCGTGGGAAAGGGCCGGGGGTGGGTGCTGGGCCCCCCCCCGGTGCTGGCTCCCCCGGGGCCGGGCGGGCAGGTCGGGGCAGCTCCTGCCCCCCCCCCGCGCCGCTGCCAGGCCGGGAACAGGCGCTGCCGGGCCGGCGTGCTGGGGCAGGAGCCGGGGCAGGAACCGGGGCAGGAACCGGGCAGGCGCCGGGGCAGGGCAGGGCAGGGCGGGACGTGGCGCCCGCCCGGGGCTGAGCTGCCGGGTCCCAGTCCCCTGGGTGCCGAGCACCTCCCGACACCCCCAGAACCAGCTCTGCATCGCCCTTGGCACAGCGACAGTGGGGACAGCAACGGGGGGACAGAACCTGCACATCCCCATCCCCATCGCCCGGGTTCATGCCCTGCAAACCTGCTGCTGTAGGGTGGGATGGTGCCAAAAGACAGGGGGAACACAGCGGCTGACCCCATTGCCCACCCAAGGATGGAGGGATGGGGTACGGGGGTCCCGGCAGCTCCTGCTTTGTTCCCGCTTCCTCTGCACCCGGCAGTTGCTTGGCAACTCCATCCATGCGGCGGCGGGAAAGCAGCAAAACAGATCCCCACATCCCCATCTCCGCTGCATGGGCTCTGGTGGGATGGGATGGGATGGCACAGCACGGCACAGCTCTCCTCCACCCCATGGCGCTTCTGACACCCCCCCCCATGACCCCAAACCAATCCCATGCAGCTCCTCCATCCCCACTGTATGGGGCAGCCGGAGGAAGGTGCCTGGCTCTGGATGCAAGCAGCATCACGCCGTGCCGAGGGAACGCGCCCCAGATTCGGGCTCATTGGCTCAGCCCAGCTCTCTTCCCCCAGCCCGGCATGGACGGGGGGCACCGCTGGAGCAGCGTGAGCTATTGGCTTAATTAATTTGCGGTTATTCCTCCGAACGAGCTGGGATCTGGAGCAGGCGCTTCCCTCCCAAAGCCTGCGCCTCCATTTGCAGCCGCGTGGGCAAGCGAGTGGAGGGGGGGAGCACGAAGCCTCTGGGCACTGCTCAAAACAGCAGGAGGGAAAGATTGCACCGAGGGAGAAAATCCCTCCCCGAGCCAGTGCCTCAATCTGCTTCCCAGCATGCGGGGAAGGGGAGCGCGCCTCGGCATGGGGGGGACCCATCCTTCCCCCCCACGCTGGTCCCCACTCGGTTGGGGTGCAGTGGGAGGCTGCAGAGCGGGGTAGGTGCCACCCAGCACCGGTTTTGCCGTGGGAAGCTGCGTTGGAGGGAGGCAGCAGCGCAGCAGCGCGCAGGCAGCAGCTCCCGCACCACCTCCACACCACTTGTTCCATCCCCTGCAGGGAGCAGGGGCTCGTTGTGCGCTGAGCCCGGCTGCCGGGGGCAGAGCTGGGCTCCGGGCCGGGCTGGAGCTGCTCTTCCAGTCCCACCAGCAGCTCCTAGGAAGGGAAGAGCAGCTCCTGGCCCGCGGCAGCACAGGGGAAGGGCTGCCGGTTCTCCTTTGGAAGCGCTCAGCGCAGGGAAAGAGAGGCAAGAGAGAGCTGGCTGCTTTCTAACACATGTTCTCATCCGCGTGCCGATACAACACCGGTTACAAATGTGCACTTCTACGGGACAGGAATCCAATGAGACAAAACCAAAACCCATCACAGTGTTGTGAGGTCCAGGACTTCAGCCACCAGGACCAATACATCAATGATTCACTTCGAGCCTTAAGGCAGAAATGGTTACACGGAGAACACGAGGGGCTCCTGCTTTGACGCCTGGGATGAGGTACAAAAAGGGCACGGAGTTACAAACAAGGAACAATGCCGGGCATGCAGGAGGAGATCTGGACCAGAGAGCAGGCAGGTGGGCCCTGGGCACCCTCCCTGGGTGCAGACGGGGACTCGGAGGCCAAGATGCCACTTGCTTGGAGCAAGGATGCTCCTGCTCTCCTGTGCCAGCAGCTGCCACCTCCCCAGGCTGCCCCAGCACGTGCTCGACGCAGCCGGCATGGGCAGGGATTGGCAGCCGGCCCTCACCAAGCTTCTTCCTAATGCCATTTGCCAACGGCTGCGAGGATACGGCCAAGCTCGAGTGGCATCGGGAGCTGGTGGGATGCTGCTGCAGAGCTGGTGCAGCCGGCACCGCATCGCTGTGCCGAGCACTAGCAGGGAAACCAAAGCTGCAAGGTCCCAGGGAGCGCTGGTTTTCGTGGTGGCAAACGCTTCCTGCCGGGGCTGGGAGCCCAGGTTGGATCCTGGATGCGTCAGGGCGGGTTCCAACACCCCCCCTTCCGCTTCCACAGCGGCAACACCCAAGTGCTGGGAGCAAATCACTGCCCTGCTCGCCCCGTCTGGCTGGTTTGTGGCTGGCAGGGCTGCTCGGGCAGCGTCGGGGTGCCCATAAACCTCCCTCCCTCCCCGCTGCTGATCTGGCAGAGGTGCAGGAGGAAACCTCGCCCTGCTCTGCAGGGTGTGCTTGTGGTGGTGGCGGCGAGGGGGTCACCCCGTGCTTGTGCCCGTGGATTCCCATTGATGGGAGCTGAAAGCTCGCAGAGACGTGGACAGAAACCACCAAAGACACAAGTGACCAATGGGGCTTGTTGGGAAAAAGAAGGAGCTTCTAAATTAAGTGGTGGCTGCAGAGCCAGCGCGTTCCAACAGCCCCCGATGGCCCAGCTGCCCTCCCCGTGCCTTAACAATGGCAGAAATAAACTTGCTAATTATAAAAGAGAATTAGAACGACCGCCTCAGCTGTCTCCATGGGGGGACGGGGGAGGCGGCGGTCCCATTAGCCAGACAAACGGATCCAACATACCCAAAAAGAAACAAATCAGCTTTACTGAAGGAGCTGGTTCATTTCTTAAATAAAAACAGAGAGCACAATCAAGCCAACGGAGTTTAACATCCTAGGGGAGGGGACAGGGCAGACATTTAGTAAGGGAGAGAAAAGCTGAGAGAACTTGTGGCCAAGGCCCTGGGGGTTGATTCCGCAGGGAGGGAGGGGAAGGAGGGCAGATCAGCAGCAGTGAGATGATTTTTGGGAGGGCACCGGTAAAACCAGAGGGGGAAGGTGCCTGGCCCTGAGCACGGGACGGTGCAGCTGATTTCCTCCCGCTGCCTCACCTACGCCCAGGGAAGAAGCCTTTCCCCAGGAGCTTCCTCCTTGCCGAGGGGCTGAGGCTGGCGTCGGGATTCCCACGGCTGCACCTCTACGTGTTGCTCCTCTCCTTGGATTTTTCACCTTTGCTGTCCTGGTGGGCAAGAGGAAGGAGAAGCGGGGGTTTTTAGGCTGCACCAACACCAGCGCGGGGGCTGCAAGTGAACACCCTCCTCACCCGGGCGCCAGAACACAACCACCGCCCGCCCATGCCTCCGGCTTCCCCAGTGCCCCATATGGGCACAGCCAGCCCCCTCCAGCCCTGCTCTGCTCAGGGTTAAACACCTTCCCCTCACGAAGCCTTCCCAACGCTCTGATCAAGGTGATGAGAGCACCTCGCAAGCGCATCGACACGCACTGCATGTCCCCAGCCCATCACCGCTGGCACAAGCCTGCCCAGCTCTGCTGGGGCTTGTTGTGTGATGATTCCGGCTCCCTCCGTGCTGAGCAAGGCATGGAGAAAGGAAACCAAACACACACGTGGCACCCTGGCACACACACAGCTCACAGGACGGGAGCGAGGAAACCATTCACAGCACAGAGAAACAGCTCTTGCCTCTGGAAAGTCTGCTGCCTGAGCTAGCTACTAAGGTCTTGACTCTTACTCTTCAGGAGAAGTCACTGCCTTCTAGCTTAGGACTGGGTTTTTCTCTCTCTAAAGCGCTCTGCTCTCTACCCTGAGCAAATAAAACAAAGCAAAACAAGCAAGAGTCAACTTTGGACTTACTTTTTATGCGGGTTTAGTTTTAAAGTATTTAGAAACCCAACTTAACTGGAACCCTGCTTACCACCTGCAACGAGAACCTGAAGCATGGGACATGTCAAAGATCAGACAGGTTAAGACTTCCCTAGAACAGCATGTTATATGGGATGGGATGGGAGAGGGAGACTGCAGCCCCGCGCACACCCCGAGGGCTCAGCATCACACATGCACGGGGATGGTACCTCAGGAGGTGGTGGCTTGATAGTCACGGGCTGGGATGTCCTTCGAGGAGGAGAAGGCTTGGGCTGCACTTGCTGCTGGACAGTGTTGTAGTAGGTGACCCCTCCATACACCTGGGACTGGGCCTGTGCTCCCCAGAGAGCAGAAGGGTCAGTGCTGGGGGGGGGGGCACAGAAACCTGCAGCCCCTGTGAGAGCACCACGTGTTATGGTGCAAAGCTGGGCTGTGACAAGATGCCACCACCGGGCACCGAAGGTGAGAGCAGTCACAGAGGGACCAGGCTTGGTTTGTGCTGTGCTCCACAAGGTCACAAAGAACAGCAGCACTTACCCCTCACATAGGATCATCGCTTACCCCTGCCCCTCACCAGGGCCTCGGGGCAGGGCCAGGCTGCAGCAGCCCACAGCCACATCAGACTGAAGTTCACAGATGGGTTTCCTTCACCCCCCCAGTTTCCCAGCTGCCATAGTACATCTGTGCTTTGCAACAGCAGCAGCTACTACTTTCCTACATGGGCAAGGCAGGTAATGGCTCCTCATCACACCCAGATCCCCTCCAGCTGCAGGGGGCTCAGGATCTTGCCCCCAGGCTCCTGCCAGGGCAGTGGGATGGATGCAAGGGAAGGTCAGAAAGGTTGCATGGCTTGGGAACGTGCATCTCTCCCGCCTGCCACTGCGTGTCAGCCGTGTGCTGCTCCCAGGAGCAGAGGGCTCCTCCTCCCTGCCCAGCAGCTCTGTGGACACAGAGGTGGGACTCGGAGCAGGAAAAGCCAGCCCCGTGCTGCGCACACCAAGGGCTTCCCAAGGAACAGCACCGGGCAGCTTCCAGCCTCCTGCCCCCATCTCCAATGGAAAGGGCTTCCAAAGCCATTTTCACAGACTGGTTTGTGTTGGAAGGGACCTTAAAGCTGATCCGGTTGCAACCCCTGCCATGGGCAGGGACACCTTCCATTAGAGCAGCTTGCTCCAAGCCCCATCCAACCTGGCCTTGAGCACTGCCAGGGATGGGGGGGGGGAGCTTCTATTTTCAAGGTGGTCTTTGCTTAGCATGGGCTTGGGGGGGGATGTAAAAGGTCACAGGCTCCCAGTGGGCTGCTCCCCTGCCCTGCAGGAGAAGGCCTCGACTCTGAGACCCATCGATACAGGCATTTCATCCACTAGTTCCTAATTTCAGGGTACGGCAGCAGGGCTGTCATCCTTTCCAGTTACCCACCCCAAGCAGGGAGAGGGATGACAGTGAACAACCTCCCAGCACAGAGCAGCCCAGCTGCTCCACATCCTCTCCCAGCAATCCCGAGGCTATACCCACACTCCAGAGGATCCCATCTGCCTTCGACAGCTCCTGCTCAGGGCGGGATGCGCAGCACAGCTGCTTACCTGCGTGTTGGAATAGAGATGTGGAGGGGGCGGGGGGGGCAGCGCTCCCGGCGGGTAGGGATAGCCAGGATTCCCAAAATTCATGACTCCAGGAGGGGAGAAGTAAGTCGGGGCCAGCAGCTGCTGCGGAGGGGGCTGCCCCGGGGGCATGGAGACGGGCGGAGGGTACAGGCCAGGGTTTGCCATGGGGGCTGGCGTCTGGTGGGGATGTAAACCTGGGATGAGAGGAGAACATGCTTAGTGTGGTGTGGGGGGGAGGAAGAGAAGGGGGAGGAAGAGAAGGGGGAGGAAGAGAAGGGGGAGGAAGAGAAGGGGGAGGAAGAGAAGGGGGAGGAAGAGAAGGGGGAGGAAGAGAAGGGGGAGGAAGAGAAGGGGGAGGAAGAGAAGGGGGAGGAAGAGAAGGGGGAGGAAGAGAAGGGGGAGGAAGAGAAGGGGGAGGAAGAGAAGGGGGAGGAAGAGAAGGGGGAGGAAGAGAAGGGGGAGGAAGAGAAGGGGGAGGAAGAGAAGGGGGAGGAAGAGAAGGGGGAGGAAGAGAAGGGGGAGGAAGAGAAGGGGGAGGAAGAGAAGGGGGAGGAAGAGAAGGGGGAGGAAGAGAAGGGGGAGGAAGAGAAGGGGGAGGAAGAGAAGGGGGAGGAAGAGAAGGGGGAGGAAGAGAAGGGGGAGGAAGAGAAGGGGGAGGAAGAGAAGGGGGAGGAAGAGAAGGGGGAGGAAGAGAAGGGGGAGGAAGAGAAGGGGGAGGAAGAGAAGGGGGAGGAAGAGAAGGGGGAGGAAGAGAAGGGGGAGGAAGAGAAGGGGGAGGAAGAGAAGGGGGAGGAAGAGAAGGGGGAGGAAGAGAAGGGGGAGGAAGAGAAGGGGGAGGAAGAGAAGGGGGAGGAAGAGAAGGGGGAGGAAGAGAAGGGGGAGGAAGAGAAGGGGGAGGAAGAGAAGGGGGAGGAAGAGACGGGGGAGGAAGAGAAGGGGGAGGAAGAGAAGGGGGGAGGAAGAGAAGGGGGAGGAAGAGAAGGGGGAGGAAGAGAAGGGGGAGGAAGAGAAGGGGTAGGAAGTCAAGGGGGAGGAAGAGAAGGGGGAGGAAGAGAAGGGGGAGGAAGAGAAGGGGGAGGAAGAGAAGGGGGAGGAAGAGAAGGGGGAGGAAGAGAAGGGGGAGGAAGAGAAGGGGGAGGAAGAGAAGGGGGAGGAAGAGAAGGGGGAGGAAGAGAAGGGGGAGGAAGAGAAGGGGGAGGAAGAGAAGGGGGAGGAAGAGAAGGGGGAGGAAGAGAAGGGGGAGGAAGAGAAGGGGGAGGAAGAGAAGGGGGAGGAAGAGAAGGGGGGAGGAAGAGAAGGGGGAAGAAAGCGCTTCTCAGCACAGTGGAGCACAGCTTCTTCCCCAGCGCGGGGTCCCAATTCCCTGAACCAGCCACAGCCCCAGGTCAGCACATCCCACCCCCTTCAGGAAGCAGTTTTTGTGGAAGATGGGGAAATGCCAACTCAACAGCTCTGTTTCTGCTTTTCTTCTCTCATCTAGAAGCATCAGGGACCAAAGAACCAGCCAAGCACAGCAGCTGGCAGAGCCAAGCGCCCCACTGAAGGGGAAGCAGCTCAGGCAGGAAGGTCTGTGCAGGACAAGCAGACATCCAGCTAGAGCCTGCCAAACCAGTCAGATCCCCTCAGTCCTGTGCTGGCTGCAAGGGCCAGAAATGCCCAATTGTCTTTCCTTTAAATTTATACTGATTCAGCCTCCCAGTGCATGAGGGAAGCAGGTCTCTTCCACGCTGCAGACACACGCAAAATGAATTCCCCCAGTGACAGGAGGCTGTGTGGAACCAGAGTTATCTGCTCCCTGGTACAAGCTGCGCACAACCACGTCGCTATCATGCCCCATGCCGGGAAGCTGGCTCCTCACCTGGATGAGGGAGGTGCATTTCTGGCTGTACGATCATGCCCTGGGGCGGCAGCGGGGCTGGGCTCTCACTGTGGGTGTAGATTGGTCCCTGGAATTGTACTGCAACACACAACAGTCGGTAAGGAAAAGCTCCAACCAGTTTTGTTCTACTGCAGCAAGTCACATGCCCGCCCCAACCAGCCACGGGGACAAGATGCTGTGCTGCAAGCCACATTCCCATCGGCACACGCAGTCTACCAGGCTGACAGATGCTACCCGCTCCCAACAGAAAAGCCTCCTACTCCTTTTACAAAGCAGGAGAATACTCAGGGAATCTCTTCCCTTGCACTTTAAATGCCGGAGTAAACTCCTCATCCATCCTCAGCCTTGTTCTGTACTTCTCCCCGCTCTTAAATGTCAAAGGCGTTGCTCTGATTTCAAGTTAATTTTAAATCCTAGTTTTTGTGAAGGAAAGCAGTGTCCCAGAGACTCCAGAGGGGAGGTGGCAACACTGATTCTATTCCAGTGGTTACAGCCCCGAGCAGGGAGGCTCAGAGCCACCTTTTAATTCACTGTATGTGACAATGACAAAGCCCCTAACAGCAATGGGGGGACTCCTGCTCCAGCTGCTCAGGTCCAGGCACACACAGAGCCTCGGGAGCAGGACGGAAGCACTCACGTGGGTCATAGTAGTGCCCTTCCATGATGCTGATGTGCATGGGGGGGGCAGGCTCTGGCACAGGTGCTCTCTGCCGCTGCGACGAGTAGCGTTTGACACGGCCCCCCTGCACGGCCTGAAAGAGTCCAAAGGCATCGGTGAGGGTCCAGAACCCTCCAGCCCTTCCCAGCCCCTGCAAACCTCTAATCTGGGTCACACAGCAAGAACTGGGAACACCCACAAAAGGGAAAGGCTGAGGTGTCCCAGGCAGCCTCTAATTACCACAACCCAGAAACAAGTGCATGCCAGGCCAGGCTTTTCTGCACTTCTAAAAGCAACAGTCACGCTCCACGCAACATGCTTTACCATTTCCTCCATCCTGTTAAACTGAGGCGGTGGCCCAGTTCCCACGTGCAGATGGTGGTTAGGAATACCTGAGGAGGAAACAAACTGGTTATTATGGTTTGCATTTATTCCTAGGGAAGAGCCACCTCACCCACCAAGGGAGACACCAGGAGGTGGCGGCAGCCTGGGGACGTGATTGTACTACCAATAGGTAGAGCTCTTGCTTGCCTGACAAGGAACCTTCTGACAACCTCACCTCTTCGGCTACCATGTGAAATGTTTCAGGACAGATGAGGAGCTGTTGTGTCACTCTACAATCACCCATGCTGCTCAACACCTTTGAAATCTTACTAACAAAGAGAAGTCCTCAGCCTGAAATCCAGGTCCTGATCTATAAGCCCTGTTCCTGCCGAGACAAGGATCTCCTCAGAGCAGAAACAAGGAGCCACGTGGGACCGGGTAAGCTGCAGTTTAAACCCTCTCCAGGGTGTAACCACTTTTAGCACGGGCTCCTTTTAATCCAAACAACAAAGTTCTGGCACACGTTTAAAAGCACGGTGCCAAGCTAATCCCAGGTGATCCCAAGGGAGCCAAAGTGGACAAAACAAACAGTGGAAGTGCCCACGGATCACTGGTACTGCAAACACACTCACGGGCACACAGCCCGTGCCAGCCAAAGGCCTCCCAGAATCCTGCCTTCTCTGCTAGGAAGAAACAAAAGGGACAGTGGAGTAGGATGTCCTTCTGACAGACAAAGTGGTCTCCTCCTGCGGTCTGGAGCTGTCTCGTGGTAAATCTGTGAAGATGTTTTATTTTTAAGCACAAAAATAAAGGAGTCTGTGATCTCAGCTGCAGATCACAGCATGTTGGAACTCTCATCCCACTGACACATTTAAAGCCTGTCTCCTCACATCCACAGTCAAGACCGAGAGACTTCACACAAAGCTCTTGCCAGTCGCATCAGTACAAGATGACTTATGTGGTTTCGTGACCTAAACCTCAAGAGATGCTTATGAAAGCAGGAAGCTGCTCTCTTCTCCTTGCTCCAGTTTTATTTCCCTTGGGAAGAACTCCAACAGACCCCAGAAAAGATTCTCATTCTGCAAAGGGATAATTATACCTGAGTGACCTCTTGCATGGAGGCTCAACTAGAAATCAGTCCTTAGCTCACACAAGGAAACTCTGCCTCGAATCCCTCCCGCTGCTGCAAATGGAGCCGCTTCCTCCTACGAGGCACAAATTCATTTGCCAATCCCAGCCAGGCCTTAGCTTGTGCCAACTAAATCCCAACGCTAGGAACTACACTGATAAACAGAGGGAAGCTCCCTCCTGCTCCTAGCAGGACACTGCAGGAGCCTGGTTATCCATCGCCCTACCCGCCAAGTGAGCACAAGGCTCCTCATCTCCTGAACAATGACTCTGGCTGCAGCAGCCGGTCTCACTGTGATTCCCAAAGTCCCCTTTTCTCTTCTGTTTTGTCCCCTCTAACCACCTCTACTGCATTTCTCAGCACCCCTGTCGTGGATCCACCTCAAGACTGAGGCAGACACAGTTCAGCTCTGCCTGTCTACTGTGTTTGGCTGTAGAAGAAAACCAACAGGCAGCACCCACTTACCCCTCAGCTCCCGGGGCTGTATGAACTGAGACTGCCCTGGAGCCCAGTTCTGCTCAGCGAGATTCATTTGGGTCATTTCTTGCTCGAGTCCATCCAAGCTGGATTCTACTGGTGACTCCCAATTGCTGCTCTTGGCTGGTGGGAGGGATGTCTCAGCTTGCACGGGTTTTGGAGGCACAGGAGCCAGCCCTTCCGAAGCGGGCACTTCATCCGCCAGCTTCCCTGCATCCCCAGCTTTGATTCTGGTCCTTCTTGCCCGGGAATAAGACTTCTTTTCAATTGGTCTGTCTGGTGGTGGCTGGGCAGCATCTGCAGCTGTGGCTTGGTTTTCCAAAGCAACCTCCTCCCTTACAGGGCTGCTGTGGACGTGCGCTGCTTCCACCTCGGGTGACTTGTCCCTCGGTGGGGTCTGCTCTGCGCGCTTCCCTCGGTAGCTGCTCTCCTGTTTCACTTGCTCACCGTTCCGAGACAGATGCTGGATGCTGGCTTCTGAAGCTCGGTAGCCTGGACGGGTCTCTTTGTAGCCCCCCAGCCTCGGGTAATTCCTAGGTGGGGGCATCCTCCCTGTCCCTGCAGAGCTCCTGTTGGTGAAGGTTCGTGGGGGAGCTGAAGTGCTGTCTGCACCTTGGTGCCTTGGGGGCTTATTGGGCCTCTCGTTGGACCAGTTTGGATCTCGCTGAGGAGGACTCCCAAACCTGAGGGGGGACAAATAGGAAAAACAACTGGAAACAAATTCCTGGTGAAAGGTACCACAGGGAAACCCTCTCCACGGTGTCCAGAGATCCCAGGACCAAGGTCACACCTCAGAGACCAATGCCATCAAGAGGGCTTCCCCACTTTGGGATTTCAGACCTGTCTCCCTCTGGGAGAAGCCAGCTCCAGTCTGACCTTGCGGCTCACCTCGGTTTGCGCATCCTCCTTGGCTTGATGTCGTCAGGGTTGTGTGCTGATCTGATGTCGTAGCCATAGAGCGCGATCAGCTCCTGCCTGGTCTTGGGGGCTTGCTCGTCCTCCCGGAACTTGTCATGCTCCCAGCGGCCCTCGTCCTTCCACAGCTTCCTCTGACGACCCTTTGGCCTGGAACAGTCACACCAGAAGTTGTTCCAAAGGAAATGCAGCAGTTCCCACCAATCCCATGCCCAGAGACCAAGCGGTTCTAGGGCTGGGTGTGCACAGGAGACAGCGTCTTCTGCCTCAGAGCTCATCTCAATCTCCCCTCTGTCAGTTTAGAGCCCTTACCTATGGGGGATGCTCACATACCTGACCTCCTCCTCCTGTGTCTGCCCTCGGAGGTCATGCTCGAAGAAGAGCCCTTTCCGCGGGATATAAGCTGGGTTCTTCCGATCCTCATCGTCATCCAGGTGCTTGGGAACCTTTTTCCCAACTTTATTCTCCACGGGTTCAGTGCTCTCCTGTCAAAACCACAGCTCTCACCACTACAGCAGTCCCCCTGTGACAAGCCTCCCCCCGGCCCAAGGAACCCATGCTTAACACCTACCTGCCCGTCCCCGCTTTGCCTCTCACCAGTCACAGCACCCTTAGAGTCTGGTTTCTCATCCCCTTTCTCCGCTTTCGCCGCTGATCCAGAGGAATCGTTACTGTCCTGCTTCAGCTCCACTTTGGCACTTTCTTCCTCGCTGTAATCCTCTTCCTCCGCCTGAAAGAGCCTCGGTTACTCTAACACGGACCTTCAGCAACAGCTTCCCCAGGAATTTCCCCACACGAGTCCCCACATTTGGTGTCAGATCCTTGTTCCAGCTGTTGAGACCTGCCCCTCTCAAAGCAACGGATTAGCTCTTAAGGTCCTTCTCATCCCTGTATTTTGATGGAAAGAGCAAACCAAACGCACCCCCTCTCCCCATCCCCATCAAGTCCAACAGTCTGGCTTTCCAGTCTGGGACCAGCTCCATGGCAAAGGCAGGGAGACAGCGAGCGAGGGCCCTTGGACCATCCCTTCCTTCCCACGCCAGGGCCCGGCCCCAGCCAGCGCCGCTTCCAGATTCCCTGGAGTCACTCAGCTGAGTCACTGGGAGCTCTCTGCTCGCAGGAGCTGACCTGGTTTCACCCTCCAGGAGCCTGCAAGCCCTGCTGAGGCTGAACCCACACTAAAAATAGCCCCGTGTGATTAACAAAAAGACTGCTCTGTTTTTCTCTTTCAACACAGCGTATTTGCACATCAACTGCTCCTTTTGTTTACGCTGGGGAAGCCCAGACAGGGCATTATTTTTAGGCACAGGAACAGAGTCATCCTGGCACAGCAGTGATGCAATACCCCTTGCAATGTGCACCACTGCGACCAGGAGCCTCCATGCAGCTTTCCAGGCACGAAGAGCTGCTGCACGGTGAACACTGGGAGCTGCCCCTTTCCCTCCACGTGCCACCTCTGCAGCCTCCCCATTAATGACATAGACTAATTGACCAAGTATAGCCCTAAGAGCTTTGATTTCATCTGCCTTGTTTTCCTGTGTTGTCTTCAACTGCTGCCCCCCTCCAGATCCCCAAAACAGCTGCTTCAAGAGAAGGGCTCTCACTAGGAAACCTTCATCGTCATCATTAGAAACCACAACTTCTCTAAACTGCCTGGAAACGGTAAACTTGCTGTTCTGAGCTAAAAACCTCAGCCACAGGGCACAGGCAGGGGGGCTCAGGTAGCGTTTGCTGCATATACAGCCAGCACAGAGCTATCAGCACTCCTGGGGCACATTCCCCTTCCAGCTGCCACACACAGGGATGCTTCAACCCAACACGCATCCTCCGCTTCCTTCCACACCCTTCTGGGCCATGGCTCCCAGTATCCCAAACACACCGGTCCCACAGCCACCCCAGCAGCACGGCGGCTTCTCTGTACACAGGAAACCACCGGTGAGGGGCTGGTACCCTGAGACAAAGGCAATGCTGCCAATGGGGAGGTGGAAAACAAGGGACACCAACTGGGGGTTGTGCTGATTATGTGAGGTGCAAACAGCGGGCAGAACACTCGGAACACCAGGACAGAAACTGCTCTTACCTCTGAGTCTTCGGCGCTTTCATAATCCGAGAGCACAGCTGCAGGGGAGAAAAAGGAGTCGGGTGTTAAGGCAGGAGCAGAAATGCAGCTTCTCCGTGAGTGTAACAAGCAGAGGGGCACAGAGCAGCCTCTCCAAGGCAGAGGCCAGCACCAGCGTGTCCCCAACACACCCCATTGCCAGCACAGGAGGAAGCAAGGATGAATTTGGGGCTTTCTGCTCCTGCACCCACTGTTTGCCCACTGTTATGAGTTCATATTTGGGACTGCACCAACTGCAGGGCCATTGGAGAAGGCGTTTTGTCCAGCTTTCCCATTTGGCACACGGACAGCACAGCCAGGAAGTCGTTACTCACCGTCTCCCTCGATGCCATCCTCGCTTTCCTGCGGGAGAAGGGGAGAAAGGCAGGTTAGCAGAGGGGGAGGTCAGCAGCCCAGTCCCAGTATCATCCCACACACAACCCCAACAAAGGCTGGCTCTGGTCCTGTCGCATCCGCCCTGGGAAGTTCAGCTCCAGTGAGGAGGAAAGAAACAAACCCTGGGCTCCCAATGCCTTTTTCTTAGGTCTTTCTAAAGCAGCTCAAGAAGAAACCAGCACAAACTGTGTCAAGTGCTGGAGAGCTTAGAAGGGAAAGAGCAATGCCAACAACGCCAGGGCCTCTCCCTCAGTAACGAGGGCCAGACAAGCCAGCTCCAGGAGGATTCCTTAAAGCAAGAATAAGGAATAGATGCTGAACATGTCCTCGAGATTCAGTGATAGAAGCACAGCCCTGCACCCTGGAGAAGCCGCTGGCTCATGGAATCATGGACCAGATGAAGAGGAGCAGCTCAGATCCAGAAGTTTTTAGTTAAAAGAACACTGATCAACCTGTGCAGTGAAAACAAACCCAGATCCCAACCAGACAACGTGCTAATGGGGCTAAACGTCAAAACTGGGGGGGAAACTTGGAATAACCGGTGCAGGAACCCAGGATGGGAGCAATTCGCATCCAGACCAGGGCAGGAGCCCCGCGCCGCGGGGCAGCAGCGCCACAGCCTCCCTCTAAAGGTGTCCTTTCCATAAGGGAAGGCCGCTCAGGGCGGATCCATGATGGAAAAGGGCAGCAAACCCGCACCTGCACCCGCCGCAGGGGCCCGGTTGGAGGGGGGGGGATTCAGCCCCACCCCGGCGCTGGAGCCCGGCTCGAATGGAAACCCAAGGGCGGGACCCAGCGCAGGGCCCCGCGGCGCCCATCGCCCCCCCCGCCCCGCACGCCCGCACTCACACACTCGGACTCGGGCGCGCTCTTGGCCGCTCCCCCCGCAGCGCTCTCGGCGCCGCCGCGGCCCCGCGGCCCAGCGCTGAGGGCTCCCGCGGCGCCCCGCGGCGGGCGGTGCTGCGGCCGCGGAGACCCGGAGCGAGACCCGGAGCCGGAGCGCGATGGGGAGCGGGCGGCGCTGGCGGCCGAGGCGCCGCTGTCGGAGGCGGCCGAGTCCGAATCCGAGTCCGAGTCCTCGCTGTCCTGCGAGGCGCGCTGCCGCCGCCGGTCCGCCATCTTGGCCCAGCGCGCGGGGGACGCCGGGACGGACTACAGCTCCCGGCGGGCCCCGCGGCGGGTGACGTCATCGCCGTCCCGGCAGCCCTCGCGCGAGGACCTGCCCGAGCGCTTCTCTGCCCGGCAGGGGGCGCGCGAGCGCCGGGCAACGTGCCGACGTCAGCGGGAGGGTGGCGTCACGACGGCGGAAGTGACGTCACGCGCGGGAGGGCGGGCTCGCGGGGTCTTTTATCGTAAATAAAAAAAAAAAAAGAGCATCAAAAATAAACACCGAAATTAAAAAAAAACAAAACCCTCACGTGACACCCACCCCCTCCACCCCCCAAACTTCAAATTTGCGACGCCAATTTCAGGCTTTTCAAAGCACTTTTCAGTTTTGTACCAAATTCCAGGTTTTCCAAGCAAATTTCAAGATTTTCATAGCAAATTTAAGGTTTCCCAAGCAAATTTGAAGGTTTTTGTAGCAAATTTCAGGTTTTCCAAGCAAATTTCAAGGTTTTTGTAGCAAATTTCAGGTTTTCCAAGCAAATTTCAGGTTTCCCAAGCAAATTTCAGGTTTTCCAAGAATATTTCAAGCTTTTCGTAGCAAATCTCAAGGTTTTGTGCCAAATTCCAGGTTTTCCAAGCAAATTCCAGGTTTTCCAAGCAAATTTCAAGGTTTCCCAAGCAAATTTCAGGTTTCTCAAGCAAATTTCAATGTTTTCGTAGCAAATTTCAGGTTTTCCAAGCAAATTTCAGGTTTTCCTAGCAAATTTCAAGGTTTTTGAAGCTAATTTCAGGTTTTCCAAGCAAATGTCCAGGTTTTTGACCCGCACTTCAGGTTTTTCCAACCAAACTTCCTGGTTTTCGATACAAATTTCCTCCTTAGAATGTGTTTTTACACCAGTTTCCCCCATTAATGAGCCCTCTGGTGCCCCATGGGCAGAGTCCCATGGACACAGCCCCATGGCCAGACCCCCCAATATGGGACTCAAAGACGTGGCTCCGCTGACCTTTGTCCTCTTTAATCGCTGCTGGGGGGGAGGGGACACACACTTGGACCCCCCCCCCCCGGAACCCCTTCCCCATGGCCAATGCCACCAAGGTGGGGGTGGGGGGAAGATCCATCCCCATCTCATCCCTCCCCACCCCCGCTGCCTCAGGCCAAACTTCAGCAACCTCCAAACGTTTAAATTATTAACCAAAAAACCCCAAACAAAATTCACAAAAAAAAAAAAAAATAAACCCCAAAATTGTGCGTTCAGGAGCTCTATTTCACAAAAAAAAAAAAAAAAAAAAAGAAAATTGAAGGTTTTTAACCCCCCCTCCCCCCCCGACCCTGTCACAGCCACTGAGAGGGGCACCAACATCCCAAAGAGCATTCCCAGGAAGCACCGTGCCCCCACCCTGGTGTTCATCCCATTTCCTAACTAAACAACAAGGCAGCAATTCCCGACGGGCCGCGGCATTCCCCGGCACCGGCTCCACTGCTGAGCGTCCACAGCATCCCAAACACGGGCACCGAGGATGGGGTTGGGAGTCCGTGAGCTGCCGTTGGGACCGGAGCGGCCGGGATACGGGATGGGGGAGCCTCATCCGTCTGCGGCACAGGGGGATGAGTCCGAAGAACGCTTGTGAAACCCAAGGGAACAGAACTGGGATCACGGAGGAACGGAGCCATCCGTCAAACACGGCCGTGGGACGAGCCAGGGATGCCCGGAGCTACTTCCGACAGGTCCGGTGCGGCGTCTGCTTCTTCTGCACCTCCAATCGGCAGCGACTGCGCTCGTCCAGCCAGGGCAGCTCGAAGTTCCTATGGGAAGAGACAAAGCCATTCCAGTGCCTTCCCGGTGGGGAGCGGTATGAGCAGCCCCATCCCTCCCCGCTGCTGGGGACCACGGTACTCACTGTGGGGTCAGTTTTGGTAAGGGCCGGCCAAAGGCGACGACGGGCAGGTACGGGGTGATGAGCAAGCTTTCCACTGTGGGAGAGATGGGAGCGTTATGGATCCCCCTACCTATACCCTAATTCCTCTTCCTGCCTGCATCCCGCTGCCAAGGATACTCACCGTCATCTGGCTCAGGGAAAAATGAGGTAACTTCAGGTTCCGACTCCTGAATCCCTTTCCTTTTGTACATTCGGAGCTGCAGCCGCTGTAGAATTCTCTGTTCCCTGATCCGCTGGATGTCCCACCTGGAAAACAGGATGCCCCTGGGAAGCTCAGGAGGCTGTTCTGGCTGCCACGTCCCTCCTCTGGCAGCATTCCCGGTTCCCATCCCCACTGCAGCCCAGTCCTGCACCCCAAAGAGGATCTGCTGTGCTGGGGACCCCCAGTCCTGCATCGCCCTCTTTGCTCCCACCTTTTCCTTCGTTTTTCATCCAGCTCCAGCTTCGCGTGCCGCTTGGAAAAGACGCTGTCGTCCAGGTTCTGTAACAACAGATGAGGATGAGCACGGCCTCGCTGCACCAGATCCGTGTCCCACAGCACTAAGGCTCGTTCCTCACCCTCACCCCATCCCAACAACTGCCCCCAGGGTTTATGCTGGATGCCACCAGCCCCAAAATGAACACTGAGCTGCGCTCCTGGAGCGGGAAGGCTCCAGTTATGGGAATGCTGTACATACCTCCAGGATGTCTGAGGGGTCGGGGTCTCTCAGGGGCTCCACGACATGGTCCCTCCAAGATGGAACTGCAGGATGAGAGGCCAAGTGTTAGCTCCACACTGGCACCCCGACATTCCCATGCTCCAGCCTCATCCCACCGCCTCACTGCTCCTTGCCAGCCCATCCATCCCTCGGAGGGCACGGCTTGGGCCCTCCCCAAAAGCCCATCCTGAGCCTGGCCAGGCAATGCCGCTGGTTGAGGGGTAGGGAGAGTTCATCACCATGCCCCCGGCCAAGCGCACGAGCAAACCTGAGCTGCTCCGAGAGGAGATGTGCCGGAGCGCTGCCCATCGCCGGGAATCACCACGCTGCAGGACCCAAGGAGAGCGGCTGGGAAGGGGCGGCCAAGAGGACAAGGCACCGGATTTGGGGGCAGCAGCCGACCCCATGCTATGCCACAGCGGCACAAACCAGAAACACGTTTCCCAACCGCAAACGGGAAGTTGCTTCAGCCCTCAAACGGGTGCACCAGAGCAAAACGGGGCCAGCAGCCCGGCCCAGCACGGTGCCTCGGTCTGGGGGAGCCCAGCACCGGAACCAGAGCTGATCCCCACTGCCATGGGAGGAACCAGCAGCACCACACAACCGGCTGCACCTCTCCCACTGCTATGTGGGGCTTCGCCCTTTGCCAGCTTCAGGGACAGGGTGCTGAGCCCCATTCCCCAGCACTCCGAGGCGGGTGAGCCCATGTCCGGCCGCCAGCTCTGCCCCAAGGCCTGGCACATGCCACGGTGCCACTCTCCATCATCTCTCCACTGCTTACTTGCCACAGTCTCCTCCTTCTTTGGGGAGGGCTCCCGCAAGGGCAGCGGTGACGGCGGCGGCTGGTGCCAGCGGCACAAGTACATTTCCGTGGTGGACAGATAGGGCAGGTCGTCTGCCTCGCTGCTGAAGAAGCTCTTCTCCTTGGGGTGGGCACCGGGGCCCTTGGGCAGGGACGAGGCTCGGAGCGGGGTCTCCAAGAGCGCCCTGGGTTTTTCCGGAGTCTCTTGGCTCCGCAGTTCCCGTTTACAAACAGTTTCGGACAAGGAGCCGCCCGATTCCTCCTTCCCCGGGGAGTGCTTTGGAGTTTTACTCTTCACTTTGGAGAACTCGGACACCAGTTTTTTAACGGGAGTCTTCCTCTCCGTGCTCCCAAACGCTGGCTTCCTGTGGGAGGAAGAAGAGCTGAGCCAGGCACGTGGATCCTCAGCCCGTGCTGGGGCTGCCAGGGCTGTGCACGGGGGCTGGCTGGAGGCAGGTTCCTCCATGTGAGAGGGGCTCCGCCAGCATTTTGGGGTCCCCCCACCCAGGGTTTCATGAGGTTCCCCTCCATCCAGTGCTCAATGGGATGCGCTCCCAGTACCGAGCAGCACTGGGATGAGTTGGTACCTTCACACCCTCCAGCCCAACAGATGGAACATGAAGCTTCAGGGAAGGTCCCCCGCTTTCCCTCCCAGAGCCCCCCCAGGCACACTGTACCTTTTATGCCCCTTCCCGTTGCGGCCGTAGGGGAAGTGCTTGGGCTGAAGGGTCGGGGGGGGCTCCAGCAGGTCCTGGGGACACTCCAGGGGCAGCTTCTCGCAAGCTTCTGCCTCCGGCTTCTCGTCCACCTCGAAGCCCTGGAAGATGCGGTGCTTCTCCCGCTCGCTGTCCTTCTTCACCAGCTGCACCCGCCTTTCCATGCGCTCGATGCGCGCAAGCAGCTGCAACACAGGCTGAGGGTGAACCCCCCCATGCACCCCAGCTGCCTGCACCGTGCCCTGCCTGCACATCCCTCTGGAAGCAAAGAACCCCCCCCCCGGGGAAGAGCCGACCCTGCGGTGCTCTGGCACAGGACCAGTGCCACCCTGCGGCAAACCGTGCCCCTGCTGGCATTTACCTGGTGACTCCTTGGCAAGGCTTGGGGTGCAGGAGCCCCCCCAGACAGCGCTTGAGCCATCCCCGCTTGGGCTCAGGTGGCACCGCGGGCTTCCCGGGAATGCCACAGCTCACGCCGTGCAGGACAGGAGGATGCCGCCAGCGCTGGGTGCGGCGGGCATCGCACCCCTGGACACTTCAGCTGCGATGCAGGCAGGGACCAAGATGTCCAAACAGCACAAAATGGCCACTGGCTTCTCCCCATCGGCACTGCCCATCCCCATGGATGCAGACCCCACATTCTAAGGAATCCGGGGGTCTCGACATCTGCTGCACTCTCCCCAGGAGGGAAAGGGTGCTTTGTAATTGGATGCGTGCTTCGTTAGCACTCATTTTGGTGACACCCAAACCCAACCCTGCATTCAGCAAAGCACAGTCAGGGGGTCCCAGAAGCCCTGGGAGATTTGGTTGCAGGGCAGGAGGAGCCTGGAGCACCCGGGATTTGCCAACCCCATCTCCCTGCCGTGGCTGCACCA